CTAAAACAAGAGAAAATGGAAACACTTATGAAAAATATAAAGACAGGTTTGCAATCTTAACATTAGAAAATATGACACAGCAGGACATGCATACAAAATACTGAAGTGCTAAAGTTTGGTTCAAACATTTGTAGACATATCTTGCATGACAGCACTACAAAAACACAACAAAGGGAAAGACTATTGCCTTATATGGTGGTTGTCTTATTGTTTGTGGGCTTTGTGTTAAAAAAAACTGGCTTTTAACACTTTCGCTAGGTATTTGAGTAAATGAAAACACAATACTTACATTTCAATGTGAATTCCCCCACAGAACTCTCATCCTCCATGTTCTTTGAATATAAATTCCATCGTCATCTGCGCGCAATTGATTCTGGGATAGGGTAGGGTGCGAAGTGTCCATCAGATGTGCACTTCATTTTCCTGGGAAACGGAGGGCGCATTTGAAGTCGCTTTCGAATTATGGCAGCCCTCGTCGCGCCGCGGTAACGCAATAGGCCTTGGAATGCGGTCTTCGGAGTCCGTGCACTTCATGGCCCTGTCCCAAATGGCACCCTAAACCCTCGCGGTCTTCCTCTGAGTCCGCACTTTCGTGACGTAATGCCGCTTTGACTGTCGGGTAGAAGTCTGCTGCGGAGCTCGCCCCAGTGCGGGCTCGGCAGAAGTGCGGATCGAGGGCGCATAACGGCCGCATGGGGGGCGCTCGCGAGCACCCTTCTGAACGCTAAAATGACTAATGGGACACCCTACGATCTCGTGGACTTAACACGCGCACGGCATTGTAAGTCCGTAAGATCGCAAGTGCACATGAAGTGTTCCATTTGGGACAGGCCCACATTGGGACACAGCTTATGTGTGCACGTGCCTGTGTAGTGACATCATAATGCGGTGCAGCACTTAAACAGGATGTTGATATGACTAGCTGCAAATAAATACAGTGTGATGCATGTGTAATTGCTCTTCAGATGTGGCTGGTAATATAGTCTTCGATGTCATTTTAACTGTAAGGTACAAATGCCCTAAAAGTAGTAGACACTAAATCTACAGTCTAGCTTTGACAAAAAAAAAAACGTTTTTATTTTAATCTTTTTAATAATAATTTTTAAAAATCAGCCTTCTAATCCATGTCTTTACCCAAATAAACTTTGTTAACCATAAAATATTCAATTTCAAATTATTCTATATATCTCTATTATAGATCAGTGCTCGAACCACAGAGAGCCACAGATGAAGCACAATCTGATAGTTGGTTGGCTGGTTTTAGCTTGTCGTCCATCTTGGTCATAGCTGGTCATCAGACTGGTTTTAGACACTGATCTATAATAGAGCCATTATATAGATCAGTGGTTTTAGAGGCATTTTGACCACCTCTTTAGCTGGTGAGGCTGAGAGACCAGCTTGACAAGTTTAGCCAGGCTGGGAGACCAGCTAAAACCAGCTAGTTCCAGTTTAAACCAGCCTTTTTTCTTTCTTTCTTTTTTCAGGAGACTCATGCAGTTGGAAAACCCCCCCAGCTAAAACCAGCCTAAGATGGTTGCCTGGTCTTAGCTGGTTTAAGCTGGAAGTAGATGGTCACCCAGCCTGGCTAGGCTGGTCAAGCTGGTTTTAGCTGGTTGTTCCAGTTGGTCTCCCAGCCTGACCAGCTAAAGAAGTGGCCAAAACCCCTGTAAAACCAGCCTGATGACCAGCTAAGACCAGGCTGGTTGACCAGCTAAAACCAGCCAACCAGCTTAGACTGGTTTTAGCTGTTTTTTTTTTCAGCAGGGAAATGGACCAATCTAGTACAAAAAGTGTTGTGTTCTCATAGCTTTCTTTGAATATTTTACTGAGGTCATATATTCAAGTAATTTTACATTTCTTTTAAGTTTGAAACTTTGCATTTGTGAATGTACAATTATCTCAAAAAATATGTCTAAATCTAAAAAAATAAAAATAAAAAAAGGCCTCATTGTTGTTGCATTAGATATAATAGCCTAAGTGGCATCTGCATGCAAATACTAGAACTTTTCTCAGAACTAATTTCCATTTTCTGAGCCACTTTTGACTTTTGACTTTTTTAACTATCTTGTGACAAAGGCTACTTTCACACTGCAGGAAGATGTGGCCCAAATTATTTTTTGCTCATATGTTAGATTGTTTTATGCTGTATTACAGAGACAGCTCTATACAAGCTAAACTTACTGGGTTGTACCATAGGTATTTTCCCCTCATCTTCGTCCTTATCGCCTGCAAATGAATTCGCTGGCTTTGCGGCGCATCAGCTTAAAGGGATTGTTCACCCAAAAATGGATTATTTTACCGATGTTCTTGCTATGTTTCTGGACCTTGATCGTGTAAGGACACTTGCTGTCTATGGGAGAGTCAGAGAGCTCATGGGATGCATCTAAATATCTTAATTTGTGTTCCGAAGATGAATGGTCTTACGGGTTTGGAATAACATGAGGGTGAGTAATTAATGACAGAATTTTCATTTTTGGGTGAACTAATCCTTTAAAGGGCATCTATTATGCAAAATCCACTTTTACATGTTGTTTGGACATAAATGTGTGTTGGCAGTGTGTGAACACAACCACCCTACAATCATAAAAATCCACCCACTCCTCATTTTTTAATCCCCTTTAAACCAAGTCAGTCTCACTAGGCCTGCCCTTTTTGATTCTCATGCAGTGTGACATCACATTGCATAGGGCCGGGCCACGGGGGTTGATTGACAGCCCTGCATTGCTATAGTTTCTCAGCGGTTCTACGCTGTCCTCCATTTTCTCCGCGATCGAGCAGCTGTAACGTCAACAATGTCTCGCAAGCAATCCTGATGCTCTGTGTTTGGATGTAAGACTGAACATTAGAGTCTTAATTTTCTCCCAATATCTGAGCTGCTGAGGACGCTGTGGATTACTTTCATTTATCAAGGTAATGCGCCTCAAAATCTACCTAAATACGTGTATCACTCCAGACTCCTTTGTAAATGTCATGCCGTTATAGTGCTTAGGGTTTCAACCGTATTTGTGTATGTACATTAAGTATTTTTTAACTGATCAGTGCCGCGCTTGTGAGATTCGTTCGGTAGCGCGGCCGGACGGCTCGGTCAATTGATCCACGCCGATGTCAGGTCAGCACGGCGCGAGCTCTGTAACATCGCGCTGTTTCGTCCCACTTTCAGTGCATTTGGCTTCCCATATGTACGGCTAAACTCCGGTTCTCTCGCTCTCAGTTATGTTGATAACCTGTTAGGCAATGCAGAGAGATGTATACGCTACGCCCTCTTTTGGAGACGGGGCGGGAATATGCAGCTCATTTGCATTTAAAGCGATACACTCCAAAACAGCTCTTTTTTAGACACACCCCAAAAATGACATTTTCCAGCTGTTATAATAAATGATCTGTTGGGTATTTTGAGCTGAAACTTCACAGACACATTCTGGGGACACCCAAGGCCAATATTACATCTTGTAAAATGGGGCATAATAGGTGCCCTTTAAATGAACACGTAACACTCACTCACTTCATGGCCTCCGTGCGTGCTTCATGCTTTTTTGTTATTGTTCTTTTGCGCATACGGATCAGTTCAGGACCGTCACACTGGTTCACACTGGTAGGCCTATCTGATATTAGCCACATTTAAAAATAATATGATGAATGTGAACAGCCATACAAAAAAATCGGATCTGAGCAATAAATGGGAATTGAACACTAATGCTTGCAGTGTAAACTTAGCCAAAGTCATTTATAGTAAAAGTCAGTGCCCTCAAGTTCACACAGATAGGTCCTATGTAGCAATGTAATCACTGTGTAGTTCATTACATTAACTATAAATATTTGACAATTATAACATGTCAAAGTTATATTTGGGGGATTTTTGTTTTTATTGAATAAGAAGCAAATGGAAAGGAAAGGACATGTGGTGTCCCATACTTGGAATTTGTGCTCTGCATTTAACCCATCCAAGTGCACACACACAGCAGTGAGTAGTGAACAAACGCACACACACACTGTGAACACACACCCAGAGCAGTTGGGGGTTCGGTGCTCAAGGGTCTCACTTCAGTCGTGGTATTGAGAGTGGAGAGAGCACTGGATATTCATTCCCCCCACCTACAATCCCTGCCAGACCTGAGACTCGAACCCGCAACCCGGGTTACAAGTCCAACGCTCGATCCATTAGAGCAGATGAAACTGCACTCTGCAATCTTAATGTTGAACAATATATCTGTTGTTTTGTCATAAAGCCTATTTTTGTAGCCTTAAATTTGAGTGCCATTTCTATATGTATGTTAATTTTGTTCAAGGATTGAAGTTTACTTGTAAGTTTTCATGTGTTTATTTCTGTTTGTATAAAGATTAAGGGTCTTCATGTTCTGGTTTGTGTGTTTGTTGTTAAGAATAGTTCAAAAACAACCTTAATAATGTCTCAGGAAGCTTTCGTACAAGCAAGCAGGTGTAGTGTCCACTCACTGCTCTTCCCCTTTGACTCTTGATATCTGACACTTTTGCCCTGAGACAACTTCCTGGACACATACCACACCCATGACCACATGTGCTGCTTGTGCTTCATATTGACTAAAATAAACATGTTAATCATTTTATCTCCTGGTTCTATAGCAAATTTTAGCTCCATTTAGCAAACTGTACATCCAAATGTCACTAATACACCAGGAAAAAATCAAATCATCAGTTATATATATATATTTTTGCCTTATCCTGACAGCGTATGCTGTCTGTAAACTATCTCAGCACTATCCATCTGTTGCCTGTTCACACTCAATCAGTTCAGTTGTCAAACTTTGAACTCACCGGCACTGTCACATCGTGTTCGTCTGTGGAACTCCTTCGGAAGTGCATCCATTTTTAGGGAAAATTAGCAGATAACCTTAAATATCGATCTCCGACTTCTGTCATGAGCAGTGTGATGTACTTCAGATGCTCATTTTAATGTGCATTCTCTCCCCCATCATCCCCCACCGTTGACACGTAGACATATGATCTGTGCCGCCTGGCCTTGTCCTTTAACATGCTCGGCAAGCAGGCTGCTCAAAACAGCAGCAAAGGCTATGCTTCTGGCTTTTAACCTTTATGCTTTCCATTAACCACACACACAGTCTTTAAGTTTACATGCAGTATAAACCGCTAGCCTATGTCAATTTTATGGTTAGGTTTGCTAATCTTAGAAATTGTTAGGTTTGATCTGGAGTTCTTTTAATAAGAACAATAATAGTTATTAATGGTTATAAAATCCAGATGTAGCCAGCAGGCTAGAGGTGCATGATATATTACTGCCATATCAGTTAACTGAATTTTTTTTATTGGTATCTGACTGTTATTGTTACTTATATATGAGCGAATAGCCTACTGAATAATTAATTGTGCATACTAATTTATACCATTTTCGTATTTAGATTATCTTTTTTTTGACAGTATAGTGTAGAGTTAATATTGGGGCGATATTAAAACTCTACACCATACTGTAAAAAAAAAGATAATCTAAATATGAAAATGGTAGAAATTATGCACAATTAATTATTCAGTAGGCTATTCGCTCATATATAAGCAATATGAACAGCTCGTTGGTATCTGCTAAAATATTAATATTGATGCATAATTGCATCCCTATAACGCAAGATGTATTTATTTGACAGTCATGAACTTCAATGGGAACTGTTAAAAAAAATGTTTCTCCAAAAGTTCTAGACAACAATGACACAGTGAGACAAGCGTTTCCTCAAAATGTATTGCTTTGACAATGTAAAAAAAAAAAAGAATATAAACAAATATATAAAAAACATAATATATATATATTTACAATCTGTGTTAAAGTAATGGGGATAATAAAGAATTACTTTTTTTCTTTAGAGAGCAGTTTTTTATGTTGGCCATCAAGCAGAGACAAAACACAATACCAAAATTCATCATACAAAGGAAAGGTAACGTTTCTTTATAATATTTAGTTAAAATATCTCCATCTTCTTTGTATTTAATATATCTTAAAAAAAAAAAAAGAATATAAACAAATATATAAAAAACATAATATATATATATATTTACAATCTGTGTTAAAGTAATGGGGATAATAAAGAATTACTTTTTTTCTTTAGAGAGCAGTTTTTTATGTTGGCCATCAAGCAGAGACAAAACACAATACCAAAATTCATCATACAAATCGTTTTAAAGTAAATGGGGATAAAAAGAAATACTTTTTTTTCTTTAGAGAGCAGTTTTTTATGTTGGCCATCAAGCAGAGACAAAACACAATACCAAAATTCATCATACAAAGGAAAGGTAACGTTTCTTTATAATATTTAGTTAAAATATCTCCATCTTCTTTGTATTTAATATATCTTTACCTTGCATAGTTTTGTTCATGTATTGGGATGCAAGTCTATCTATCTATCTATCTATCTATCTATCTATCTTGTCAGTCTTGAGGAAAGTTCAGATCTTTCAGTTTTGCTTTTAATTTACCACATGGCAGTCATATAAGATTGCTTGGTGTGTCATATCTTAATGTGGATATTATAACACTGTTCATTTGTGTAATCTTGTGTAATAAAAACCATTAGGTCAATTTGTGTTTTAGTAGTGTTATGTTGCTTAGAAACTAGAGCACTACTGTGATATTGATGAATGTACATTATCCAACTCAAAAATCTGTGAAGTTCTGTATGTATGTATGCAAACATAAAAAGCAAACATTTATTTTCAGTCATTCAATGTGTAAAACTAAGCATTGCAAGCCACATAAAAATACACCACATTTAGCTATGATTATCCCATATAATGACCTTGATGGTTAAAAGCTGAAAGACAATAAGAACAAACTCACTTCTGTTTTCCAGAATAAAATGAGGTATGAGAGCATAGCCTATATCCTGTCACAGGATGTAGGCTACATAACAGTGGGGCCCCAAATAACCACAACTTTAATAAAGATGAACAAGACAAGAATCGTTTCATTCACTCTCGATGAACATCAATGTCCTCGAGGCGAGAAAAAGTCATCACACAACAAAGAATATTCATGTCTAATTCATTGCCATGCTGTCGAGAATTTAATTCTGTAAGGGACAGTCTGCCACAAGAGAGACGGCAGCAGATTGACGACGGGCTCGTCCGCACTTTACCAAACACTTCATCAGCAATTCATCACTGTTAAAGAGGTAAACCAGTGGGTTGATCGCACTATTCATGCAGGCCAATCCATTACCAACTTGGTTTGCGATGTACACATTAGAATACCATTTCAGACACGTGCCGTCCAGTTTGAAGATTCGAGTTGCCAGGTTTAAATTTCTAAAAATGTGATAAGGAATAAAACAAATAGAGAAGAGCAGGGTCAGGATGACAACCAGTCTGAGACACCTCAGCTTCAAGATGACATCGATGTCTTTCTTTGTCATCAGAGTAAACGCCACATGTCCGTAGCAGCATAACATTATTAACAACGGGATTCCAAATCCAACAACCGTTCTTCCGATGCTGTACTTCAGGTATTTCCTAATGTACTTGTCCGAAGTTGTGTCAAAACATGATGTTACGTTGTTGTTGGTTTTGTCAAAGAACATATCAGGCAGGCACTGAAGAAAAACCAAAAACCACACCAGCGAAGCAATCATCACAGAGTGTCTCGCTGTAATTCTGCCATTAGCCCTCAAAGTGTGAACGATGCCGAGATACCTGTAAACGCTGATGCATGTGAGGAAACCAATGCTGCCGTACAGGTTGATGCAGAAACACAATCTTAAAATCTTGCAGAAAACATCTCCAAATATCCATTTGCTGCTGGACGCGTAGTAAACCACCAAATAGGGCAAGGTTAAAAGATATAAAATGTCCGCCAGGCAAAGATTGAGCACAAAGATATTTACATTACCAATTTTCCTCCAGTTATCATACATAGATTTCAGCCCCAAACAGTTGCCAATAACTCCAAGGATGAAAACAGTCACGTAGACTGAGGGCAAAAATGTGTGCGTGAAATCAAAACTGACAAATTTACAGGTAGAATTGGACTCCATCGTTCATTAAGACGATCAGACTTTCTTGTTGGAGGTTGGAGATGCATGACAATTCTCGCACATGAAAATATGTCACAGGAAGTGAGCACGTTGACTGTTGCCTTCACCGAGAAAGGCACAGCACATGTCAAAGAAAACTCTGAACTTTGAGCTTTAACTAATTTAGATTATAGAGAAACAGCACTTATATATTAGCCTTTACATTTATACATAAAATAATCATATATTTTGTCTGTGAATTCTAAAGGACCTATATTTGTTTACTTATATTTTGAGTAATTTAATTATAAAGTAGGCTAATAATAAAATATGTAATTATATATCACTATACTGTATAGTTATACCCGGAGTACATGTAATAAAAAAATCTCACTTATTATCATTACACTGAATATCCTCTTTATTTCTATTGTATTTTTTTCATTCGTGCACATACAGTAATCCCTTGCAAAATGGAACAAATTCTATCAAATGCAAAATAGAGCATCTAATTCTTGCTTGCCTTTCCTCATAAAAACAAGAGAGGGCAGCCTTACACTTCTGAATCGCTGTAGAGTGGGAGACTCAAGCTACTAGATTTGATTTCATTAACTTAATATTGTTTTAGGTAGGCCTATTGTTGAACTTCCCCTTTAAAAAAAAAATGTAAATGCATATTTCCCCGTATTTACATTTATGTATGCTAAATTTAGCTAATTGAAGTAGCAGATACAATCATTTCCTTATAATATGTGAATGTCAAAAGTTAATAAAGCTACTAGACCCCACGAAAATGAGACAGGCACACAGCACACAAAAAAAACGTGTTATTGAGTATTTATGAGATTTCTATGATGAGATTTTTAAAAACCGTTTGCATAAGGTCTGACAAATGACTGCAAAGATGTGAGGTGGCAAATTACAGTGCAATAAACTTGAAATATTCCAAATGAACACAAATGTTAAAGGTTCTAGTATTAATGACAGAAACATACATAAGTATTTACATATATACACAGTCAATCCTTTTGCATGAAATTGGTAAGCACTAAAGTACAGCTGGTGTCAGTCTTCAAATAAAAGCCTGCAGTAAATACAGGTGAACATGCCACATTTAATTTAACTCAAAAAATAATTGTCTAAATTTCACATAGCATCTAACCAATTCTTCTGCATTCATGTGCAAAGTTATTTTAGGTAAATTTCAAATCTGTCTAAGACAGGATGTTTCTTTGCTTAGATGAGGAGAAAACATTAGATCTCATTTACATAATTTTCATCTTTTGTGAGCTAATAGCTTTGGAATTCATTGAGAGCCACAATTGTCCAATGATAAGCACAAAACTGACAAAGATACAGACAGAACGCTTACATAATTGTTTGATATCTTTCAAGTGTAAAGTTTTTTCAAAGTAAAACAGCTGCCAATGTGTAAACCCAATAGAAAAAAATTCTGGCAGATCTTAAACTCATAAACTATTTTAATTGCACCAAAGATACCAGTACAGACACCTGTCGTCTTAAGACAGTGTCCTGAAAAAAAGCATTGCTGTCAAATCTCAAATGGCTTATGTGTTCTTTAGTGCTCTTTTTAATGTTTTTTTTTTTCAGTGAAATTAAACGTCAAATCTTGAGTTGGCTAGTTGTAACTAACACGCAATAAGACATTTTAAACTCAGAGCATCCAATATGAAGCTACTAGATCGAAAGTCAGTCTATAAGAGAGTCAGTTTCTAACCCCAGAAGGGTGTCCCTCTATATGCCCTTCCAGATGAATAGGGGCAGTTGTAATGGCAGATGCAGGAGTTGATGGTCATGACAGCATGTTTGAGCAGTCTTCCTCCAGGGCAGCGGAAAGTGACCAGTGCCGTGCCTGTGTGGTAAGGAGTGCAACAACGGTTGTCTTTACATGAGCCGCAATAACGGGGCCTGTAGAACTGCGTACTATAGCAGCCCTGGTGGAAAAG